CAGTCTAATTTAAGATTCTACAATTGAAATATTCAAGTGTGCAGAACCCTAGCTGTACATTTGACATTTTGTGAAGGGAAATGATCCATAATTTGCCACTAATTGTCACAAATGAGTTCATTTTAGTCCTAGGGGAACTGAGATTAGATGATGTGAAATTTCATCTTGGTGCACTCATCTGAGATTGATCTCAGGATCCTCACTGATGTATTATGAAGAGCTGTGCACTCTATGCGGTGTAACAGAGCCATGCACAGTACTTGTTGTAAGAGAGCTTTGCTTTGTAATGCCTCAATGGCATGATAAGTTATCTAATGCAAGACCTGTGTGTCAGCCTGACCCATGGTAGCACTCCCATCTCAGATTCTGAAGCTTGTGGGTTCAAGTCAGCCCCACGTCGAGACTTGGAATCATACGGTCTGAGCTAACCCTCCAATGCAGTGCTGGGGTGTGTCGCATTCTGAGAGGTGCCGTCCTTTGGATGAAAAGTTAAATGGAGGTCACCTGTTCAGGTGGATGTTTAAAATCCCATTGTACTATTCGAAAAGAGAGTTCATCCTGGCTGATAATCCCCCAAATAAAATTGGTCACTCACTCCATGGTTGTTTGTGGGACACTGGCTGCCCACAAAATACACAGCTACTACACTTTACAGTACATCCTTTGAAGTGGTTTGAGGTGTCTCAACGACGCAATAAGGCAAGGGTTATATCAAATGCAAGGGTTATTATTGTGATAAGAACTAGTATTATTATCACTACAATAAATAGGCTAAAATACTGTAATTCGGAAAGAAAGGAGAGATTGCAATACATAGAATCCCATTCCATTTTACTTTTCCACTGCAATGCAAACTGTTACAACTGAACGAATCGCATGTGAACTTGGAATACCAAAGACAAATCGGGCGTGAGAAAATACGCGGGGCATTAAGAGAAGCAGAACAAGGGATACGAATTCAGCACCAAATCCAACCCCCTCTTTTTATGCAACGTCCAGGCCAAAAATATCATGAGGAGGAACTGCTCTGTGACCGAAGGCTTTGAAGATGAGCTCTTCATTACTCGGTGATGGGGGTACGGCTGCAGAGGCTACGGCTGCCCTAGGCCAGCGGTTAATATTTTGTGATTGTCTCAGCACTTTCAGCGCTGCGCCGTCCTGATCCTCCTTGACATTTCATTTGTCTGAAAATCAGCCGGCGTGCAGTGTGATTATCACAGGTGCTCTGTGCTCTCTGCCAGCTGTCACTCAGGTACAAATAACAAAAGACTTACTCATTTCTCAGCCGTGTGGCTGCCTTGCTTAGCATACTGAGTAGAGAGGCATCTGCTTGGCAGGGCGCCACAACCTTAAGACACATTCATGTATTTAAAGTGTATGAAGCCAAATTCATTTCGTCCAGCGATCGGGTTGGTATTGATTTACTGTCACTAAATCTGTGAAATCGTCATTAATGCATTGAAGTCACTGTTTACACAGGAGCAACATACTGTGAGTCAAATTGTTGAATATGGCTTGCACTAATCCAAGACAGAAAAACAATTTCATTAATCCTTCTATCTTACTTGTTGCCTCACATTTTTAAATACAAAAAAGCTATTTCAGCAAACTGCTGCGAAATAGCATTTTATTATTCATTTATACATCTGAGCTTTTCTTCGATGGCATTTTAATGAAATGTCTGAGAGACTCATTCTTTTGCCCATTATGAATATGTCAGACCTGGTGAACAAAGCAAACTCAGAGGATGTAATGATTTTGAATTTTATCAAATGTCTTTGACACAGGGACATGGCTTCATGTGCCCTCACCCTATCTTCCCCAACATCGGCTGACGGGCTTTCAGCCGTTCTGCCCATTGCTTCCTGGAACTCCATCGCCTTTCCTCATTCAAGTTCCGTCTCAAGACCTACCGCTTTCAATCATTTTTCCCCTCCTCATTCCCTTTGGCTCCCATACCCAGCTTGGGTGCCCAACCAGCAGTGCCAAGCATTTTGAGACATCCTCCCAACCTGAAAGGCGCAATATAAGTTGTATTGTATTGTAAGTTGCTTGCCACACAAGGCTGAAAACATACAATATAGGGGAATTTCCAAAGTGTACCCAAAACTGTCTACATTAGAAGAAAGAATTGTTACTCTAGTTACTCATTGAGGACACTACTCCACTTATAATATTCTTAATTCTCCATAAAGCCGTTTGAGATCAAATATTACTGGCTGGTTTTGAAAATCTTAAAATTCACGTCGTTGGAAGCATGAATACTCCAGCTTACAGCAGGGAAAACAACTGAACAAGTAACCACATTAAGCGCTGTATTTAGAAACTCTAATATGCTCCATACAGTATATTTGATTTTTGACAGTGGCCCATGGAAGTCATGACAAAGCATCTCTTCAAAGCAATTGGAGTCCACTGAGTAACTTTAATGGAATTCACGGTCTGGCAGCTTTACAGGCAATAACCGACGGGTACAGATGTCCAGAGCGGATTCTCTCTCTTTTTTTTCCCGTCGACAAACAAGTATGACGTCCAATACTGTAATAATGATTTGACAAGGCCAAGATGTGGGCAAAGTGTAGATTGATGTGGAGTAGTGGAATTAATAAAGTCTGGGCTCAGAGAGGTCAGTGCACACACGGAAAGTGATGAATTTGTACCGAGGATATAAGGAAATACAAAGGCTGCTTTCTGGAAGAAACCACTCTTAACCTGTACAGCAAATAACCTCAGGGCTCATTTCACACAGACTTGTACTTTCACCACTTACTGTTGCTTAACCCTCCTCTTGCCAACTTTGCCTGGGCATAGTCGCTCCATTTATACTCCAATTCCAATGTGATTTTCCAGGCCATCAATTCCATTCTGAGCTCCAGAAATCACCTCCAGCAACAGAATCAGTGTCATCGACTGCTGTAATACCTATTCCTGATTCACTGCAGATGATCTCATGTCAACTTTTAAACTTAAGAAAATAATCACTTATTTGGGCCAATTATCCATTGGACCAGCCTTATAATTTTACGACTAAAAGGTTGGTCAAACTGCTAGCTAATGTAATAAGAGTACAACATTAAGTAACATTTGGTGCCAATCAATATTGTTCTGCATTCAGGATTAGCTGTCCAATTATAGAGTTCTATTCAACACTGGTGTGAGTGATGCAGAGCAAGTATAATAGATTTGAGTGTCAGCTTGGCACTTTGGAAGCACTCTTGTCTCTGAGTCAGATGGTTGTGGGTCCAAGCCCCATGTTGGGACTTGGAATCACATAGTCTAAGCTGTGGCTTCAATGCAGTGCTGTGGTGTGTTACATTGTTGGAGGTGACATCCTTCAGATGAGATGTTAAACCGAGGTCCCATCTGCCTGTTCAAGTGGACATTAAAATCTCATGGCACTATTCGAAAAGAGAAGGGAGTTTCATCCTGGTGTTCTGGCTAACAATTTCCCGTCGCTCACTCCATGACTGTTTGTGGGACATTGCTGCGTGCAACTTGGCTGTTGCATTTCGGCCACAAAATACAGTGTCATTCTACAGTGCAGTCATCAGGGGTAGGTATTATTGCAGTCGATGACACTGAGTCTACAAAGCTAGGTGGGAAAGTAAGCTGTGAGGATGACACAAGGAGGATGCAAAGGGATATAGTCAGGTTAAGTGAGTGGGCAAGAAGGTGACAGATGGAATATAATGTGGGGAAGTGTGAAGTTACTCATCTACGTAGGAAAAATAGAAAAGGAGATTATTTTCTAGAGGGAGAGAGACTAGATAGTGTTAGCATTCAGAGGGATTCAGGTGTCCTTGTACACCAATCACAGAAAGTTAGTATTCAGGTACAGCAAGCAATCAGGAAGGCTAATAGCATGTTGGCGATGGTTGCAAAAGGGTTAGAGTACAAGAGTAGAGAAGTCTTGCTGCAATTGTATTGGGCCTAGAATATTGTGTGCAGTTTTGATGTCCTTATTTAAGAAAGGATATACTCGCCTTAGAGGGGTGCAGCGTAGGTTCGCTAGGTTGGTTCCTGGGATGACGGAGTTGACTTACAAGGAGAGGTTGAGTACACTAGGCCTATATTCACTAGAATATAGAAGAATTAGAGGTGATCTTATAGAAACGTATAAGATATTCTTAAGGGCCTTGACAGGATAGATAGTGTGAGACTGTTTCCTCTGGTTGGAGAATCTAAAACTAGCGGTCATAGTCTCAGGATTAAAGGTCAGCCCCTTTAGAACTGAGTTGAGAAAACATGTCTTCACTCAGAGGGTAGTGAATTTGTGGAATTCTCTACCCCAGAAGGCTGTGGATGCTCATTCATTGAACATATTCAAGACTGAGATCGATAGATTTTTAAAAACTAAAGGGATTAAGGGATATGGAGATAGGGAGAGTAAATGGAATTAGGCTAGTAGATCAGCCATGATCTTATTAAATGACGGAGCAGGCTCCAGGGGCCAAATGGCCTACCCTTGCTCCTATTTCTTATATTCTTATGAAAGGTTCACAAAGTTTTCGTGAAGCGTAATGACAGTGCATTTTGTAAGCGACTAATTTCAGCATGTCTCAGTTGAAACAATGAGATTCGTTATTGCGAACATGCAAGTCATTTTCAAACTGCCTTCATCAATAGTGGTTCAACTCCACTACTGATTAACATCCCAGAAAGAATAATTAATTTTAACATGAATTTCTCTGCTAAACACTATAAATGTCAAACATCATCATGGCATATCAATTTCAGATGTATTGCAATAAAGCGGAATTTTTGTTCTTGTTTCAATGTATTGACACCGTGACTGTTTTTATAGTGAGTAAATAGCAGAAACACAAAAAATAATACCACAGGGCTGATGTTCCTTTATTAAATATATTTCATCTTTATCTATACTCATCTGGGAGGTCTCCTGTAGGAGGACTCCTTTTGGGAGGACTCAGTGGGAGTTCTCAGCGCTTTAAAAATGTAATTTTGTTGCTGTTGCCACGGCTTAGCTTCGTCTGTGCTCTTTAGTTTGTTCCCGCTGCTTGACGACGTCCGTGCTCTGTGAAGCAAGATGCCACTGCGCCACGGTCAGCCGACACGGCCACCAGGTGTAACTGCAGCGTGTGCCTGCATACATACATAGGTGCTCTGTGATGCACGATACCACAGCGGCACTTTGACTCAGCGGCCACCAGGTGTAACTGCAACAAAAAACGCAAATCTGAAAATAACTCATAAACGATAGAAATACCCAAAAACATATATGCCCATGGCACTCCCAGATGCAAAACCTTTCCAATGAGGTATAAATTATGTCTCTACATCAATCGGTTACTGAGATCCTTCTTGAAGCGCAGACAGACGTTGTTGTTTTATTAGTATAGAAGATAGATTAGACAATCTTTGTGAACCACTCAAAGTTTGTCTTTATCAGTAACACCACCATTGAGCCATTTGGTTAAAATATTGCTTCATAATTACTCGCAGATCCACAATATTTTCTGTATACCAATCAAGGGACGAGTGTTGATATAATCCATGTCTTTAGGATGTTGAAATGGATGGAAGGTGTGGGTGCGAGCAGATTGCTTCATGATCAAACAACCAGTGGACACAAATAGAAAACTGGCAACCTCAACCTCAATCCCAATTGATTTTACCTGTACCTCCTTCTTATACATAATAATAATATAATAATTCTTGCATTTCATATAACGCCTTATCACGTCTTAGAGATGGCTCAAAGCGCTCCACAGAGTATACTATAAAGTGAATTGACTGTATATTTTGTGTACAAAACATGGCAGCCAATGCACACAGCAGTGTCCCACAAACAGTCATGAATTGAGTGACCAAATTATTATTATTATTATTATTTGAAGGGATTATTACCCCCGGAAAAGCGATCCAGAAATCAACTAACAACAGGGTTCATACTTACAACTTTACAACTAAGTAAACAGAAACACGTGGAATAAGGAAACTTGCCCAACATTTCGCCCTGCCCGGGAATCAAACCCAGGTCCTCTTGCTTGCGAGGCGAGTGCTCCAACCCCTAAGCTGCAGGACTCCACAACCCTCTGTGAAGAAATGTCATCAATATCACTAATTTTTCTTTTTTCCTCAACCAGATTCCTGACACATCAGAAACCCTGAAAAGCTTCCTGCTGCTAGGATCATCCTACCCGGTATTGATGACTAGGAAAGATGACTGTAAGTATGGTCAAAGAGATAGATCTTAAGGTGGGTTTTAAAAGTGGTGAGTGAGGTTGTGGGTGAGGTAGAGGGACTCCAGGATGGCATTCCAGAGAACGGGGCCAGAATGGTTGAGCACATGTTATCATTGCATCAATTCATTGTATGTGAAGTCAGTATTATTTGCAGTACAATGTAATTAAATGCAATGGCAAAGGCAAGGAGTTTATTTAATTTTGGTCAGTGTGTCACAAAGCATCACCAAACTTACACATGAGGGGACTATAACTACAGTGTCAGTTCCCCTTTTAAAAGGCAGTGGATGAACGTATTAAAACTTTATGAGATGCAGAGCTTGTCGTTGGTGGGCAGCCTTGGGCAGCATAATTATGAAAAGATCAGAAATAAGGGTAGACAGATGGTTACGCACCAATATCCAGTTTGCAGTCTCTTCAAAGCCAATGTCACATCTCCAAATTCCCTTAGATATGTAAAATGTTTCATGCGAGCAACATAACAGTGGAACCAAAACTGAATAGGAATCAATTGAACAGTCACTCAGAAGTAACACTTTTAATCTCCAACAAAATATCTAGGCTTGACTTTGTAAACTCCCTGTTTGTTGGCCTCCCCAACTCCTCCGTCCGAAGACTACAGATCATGCAGAACTCTGCAGCCCATGTCCGCTCCTGCACAAGGCTCCGTGAACCTATTGCCCCCATCCTTGCCCGACTCCACTGGCTTCCCATCACACAGAGGATACATTTCAAGATTCTGGTCCTCACCTTCAAAGCCCTCCATGGCCTTGCTCCCCACTACTTCTGAGACCTCCTAATCCCTTACCAACCTGCTTGCTCCCTCAGTTCAGCAGGATCCGGCCTGCTTCACGTCCCCCGCCTCGTCCCCCCCACCATTGCCGGGCCGACCTTCAACCACCCTGTCCCCACCCTCTGGGTCTCCATCCCGCAGTCCCTCCACCTCGCCCCTTCCCTCCTACAAGACCCGTCTCAAGACCCTTCTCTTTGATCGTGCCTTCGATCACCCACCTTCACCCTCTGCCCTCCACCCTCCCCAATCCTAACCCCCAGCTCGGGTATAAAACACTGATTGTCCAGCACCCTGCGATGTCCTCCCAAATGTAATTTTGTTGTTGTTGTTGTATTAAGTGTTATCTCTTCTCGATCCAATCCCTTCCTTTTTCCCAGTACCTTATTATCTCGTTTTCAGATATTTATCAATTTTCCTTTTAATGCCTCTCAGCCGCAATAGCCAAAGTATTCCATGATCAAACAATCCTCTCTATTTTACCACTGAAGTAAATTTTTTCAGAATAAGATGAACAGTGTTATTATATGGATTTTCAGTCGGGCTGTGTTTTTGACTTGATGGGCACCGTCTTCTACAGAAATGATTTATTGATGCCTTTGATAACACATGACAGGCAATTGCTAAATGGTGTTATTGCTCCCCATTTAAGAAAAAACGACAGAGGCATGGGACCAAGCATAACTCTTACAGAAAGCCAGCACAGGCATGATGGGCCGAAAGGCTTTCTTCAGCGCTCAATATCGACTAATAAAAGGGAGGTCAGTAGGTTACTGCAAACACAGAATTGTTGCTGGGAGAAAGGAGGATAGAATTCAAAAGTGGTGATTACAAATGGATTATCAAGACGTACGTGCGAGTGTAATAAATTCTGTATTAACATCAGAGTTTGCCACTCAACAAAATGTCAGTGAAAGAAGCTCTGCTGTTGCAAGCACACAGGAGTCTTACACTCCTCCGCAGCTGGCTATCTCTGGCGCACTGTTGAATGGTGGTGAAGTGTTGCGGTGACTGTGTTCTCTCAGCCTAAAATAGGAGGACTTGATGCATTAAATGAGGTTTTGCCTCAGTGATCTGGTGTAAAGAAGGAGAGGGAAAAAAAATCAATTTTATTTTAAAATAAAAAAGCTCTGAGATGCTACCCTGCATGGAGGGTGCTATATTAAGTACAAGTTGTTGCTGTAAAATCAGAGTTCAGTCACTGTACAGAATTAAATACCATTATCGCTTGCAATTTTGTGCATCCTCGACTTTTGAAGTTTTTGTGTACCTTAATAATGGCAGGTCTTAGAAATCAATTCCCTGATGTGAAAAACATGACAACAAATTCAAGCATTGTTATTTTTTTATGATCTCACGTGCCTATTCAATGCCTTGATAGGAAGGGGAAAGAATTGGAATATGAAAAAGGTAAAGCAAATGCTGTAAAGTCAGACCCAGGCAATGCAGGGCTGGTTGGTGCTGCATTGTCGGAGGTACCATCCTTCGGATCAGACGTTAAACTGAGGATCTGTGTGCCTGTTCAGACCGGCGTTAAAGATCCCATGATACTAACCGAAAAGAGAAGGGAATTTCTCTCTCCCGGTGTCCTGACCCACAAATCCCCCAAATAAAATTGGTCACTCACTACATGGTTGTTTGTGGGGCATTGCTGTGCTCAAAACTGACTTCCACATTTCACCCATGAGCTTCAAGACGTCTAAACAGCGTGTTAGGGCACTATATCAAATGTAAGTATTGTTATGTGTGTGTTGGCAATCTATTCTACAGCCCGTCAGTTTTCAGATCATTTCTAAAAACATTCAGTCACTGGGGAGCCTAATTTTTGCATCAGTGCGCTTGATCAGCAATGGTGCAACGAGTCCAACAAGAGGGTGAGAAATGACAACCATCTCTCTTCAAAACTGTGCGATTTGAATAGAATTTACTGATGTGTCGATGAAGTTTCTTATTAGATAAATGCGGTAGTTTCAAATCGATATGAGTGGTAAATGGGAGGTCACCCACTAACACTCAGTCACAAGGGGGTATGTGCATGGGATCCATCTAAACGCAATTCCTCCTTTGCAGTAAGAAAGGAAATGCCCAAGACTGAAGAAGAAGAGTATGGTTGAAGGCCACAAAAAGCCCAAATTAATTTTGTATCTTGCAGAGTCCTCAACTGGCCATCAATGGGAATGCCATTGAGATATAATAAATTCGAAGTAAGTCAGTGTGTGACTGCTCTCTGCTGGGTGAAGGGAGTAAAGCACACAAAGAGGTCAAGTCACCTCTTAAAGTCAAACATTGTACAAGGGCTAACTTTGCTGGTGCTGTTTCCTCCAGGTGTGTCCACATACACACATCACTAAAAACAAGCTCACGGATACAAAAAGTTACCAAAAAGGCTAATGGGATGTTGGCCTTTATCTCAAGGGGACTGGAATATAAAGGAGAGGTAATGATGCTTCAACTGTAAAGAGCCTTGGTCAGACCCCATCTGGAGTTCAGTTTTGGGCACCTCACCTCAGGAAGGATTTTTTGGCTTTGGAGGGGGTGCAACGCAGATTCACCAGAATGATACCAGTGTTAAATGGTTAAATTATGAGGATGGGTTGCATAGACTTGGTCCCTTGAGTTCAGAGGTTGGGGGGTGATCTGATTGAGGTTTATTAAAATAGTCAAGGGATTTGATAGGATAGATACAGAAAAAAATATTTCATCTGGTGGGGGAATCCAGAACAAGGGGACATAATCTTAAAATTAGAGCTAGGCCATTTAGGAGTGAAATCAGGAGGGAGTTTGTCACCCAAAGGGTAGTGGAAATCTGGAACTCTCTCCTCCGAAAGGCTGTGGATGCTGGATCCATTACATTTTCAAGATTGAGGTGGATAGATATTTGTTAGGTCAGGGTATCAAGGGATATGGAGCAAGAGTGGGTAATTGAAGTTGAGGTATACATCGGCCAAGATCTTGGAACAGACTCGAGGAGCTGAATGGCCTACTCCTGTTTCTACGTTTTTAGTTTCTATGATTATCTGTACATGCGATAATTGTAGCAGGGGATAATTATCATATGACACAGCACATTTATCCTCTTTATTGTTAAGGAATCTTCAGGTATATCCTATTATTAGATTCTTCATTTTGTTAAATCAAGTGATTTTAAAAAAAACTTTGAACAGCTCAATTTATACGACTA